CCTTTACTGTTCAATTTTTCAATATTTTTTTCACCTACTTTAATGTTCTGAGAGATAAAAGCACAGTGTAGACACTCAATAAATGTTTCTCAAGTATTGTGGGTTGGGAGGGGACCATGAATTGTTTTGTTTCTCAAAAGAAAAAAAGAATACAAATTGCCAACAAATATATGAAAAAAATTTGTCAATATATTTGGCAGAGAAATGCAAATCAAAATATACTGAGATTTTCTCTCTCCCTGCTTAGAATGGCAATCATCAGGAATACAAATAATAAATTCTGGCAAGGATGTGGGGAAAGGTACCCTCGTACGTGGCTGGTGGGGCTGCAAATTCGTGCAACCCCTCTGGAAAACAGTATGGAGATTCCTTGAAAAACTAGGAATGGAACCACCGTATGACATCCAGCTATCCCACTCCTTGGTATTGATCCAAAATAACTAAGAATCAGAATACTATAGGGAAAGCTGCATTTCAATGTTTATTGAAACACAGTTCACAATAGCTAAGTTATGGACCCAGCCTAGGTGCCCATCAACAGATGGATAAAGAAAATGTGGTGTCTACACACAATGGAATATTACTCGGCCATAAGGAAGGATGAAAGTACAGCATTTGCTGGTCCATGGATGGAACCGGAGAACATCACACCAGGTGAAAGAAGCCAGACCCAGAAGGTCAAGGTCAAATGTTTCTCTCATGGGCAGAAGCTAGAGAGAGAGAAGGAATTTTAAAACAGGGATCTCATGAAGACAGAAAAGACAAAGGCCACCACAGGAAGGAAGGGATGGAGGGGGACGCGGGCCAAGAGAGGAGCTGCGGAGTGGAACGACCTCACTGTGCTCCCTGTATGTGACAGTGTCACCCCACGTTGGGGTATAATGATACACTGCCCAAAAAAAAAAAACAAAAAGTCCTATTGTGTCCCAGAAGCATGTACAATTATTATGCTAATTTTTAAAGGTTTCTTTAAAAATGTTTAATGAAGAGGAAACATTAGCCACCCAGATTTGATCAGGACCCTTTGCCTACATGTATCGAAAGGTCACGCTGTGCCGTACAAATGCAGACAACTTTCAGACAGCAATGAAAAATGCTGTTTAATGAGGGAGAAAGAGCCACTGCCCCGACTTGATCATTACGCACTGGGTCACGCACTGCATCCACACGGTACCCCTACAGCTATGCAATTAAACTTCAGAACAAGATTTCGAGTGGCTGCCGTCACAGCTTACCTTGGAAATCCAGAGTTCCCGAAGGTGACAGCGGCGTGGAGCCAGACCAAGCCCTCTGTGAGTCAGGAGGACAGTGGTTAATGGACTGTCCATCCTGCTGGCTCCCAGGAAATGAGGCCAGAGCCCTCCTCTTAGCTCCAAGCGCCTCTACCAAAGGCAGGACTCCCCAGCCCAATGGCCACTTGCTGTGTCCTTCGCAGTTGCTACAAATACTGCCTCTCAGCCAACCACTGGAGGCTGGGTGTCCCCAAGCAAAGACACCATCGCAGCCACTGCATCTTGGTGGCCCCATAGGGCTGCCAGGCTGCTCACTGCGCCCAGCTGGAGAATGCCAGGCTCTCCTGCACCCGCCCACAGGTGAGCTTGGGTGGGCTCTGGCCACCAGGTGAGGACGCAGGAGTGGACGCAGAGAGAGGGCACACGCGCACAGGGTTTTGAAACCTCTGCCTGAGCCCCACCTGCTCCCACTGTTGGCCAAGGCTGGCCACAGATGCAAGCCCAGGCTCAGAGCAGGAGGAAGGGGTGTAGGAGGCTGAGACCATCCTTGGAGCCCAGGACCCACTCAGCCTACCACCACTGGCCATGGGTGACATGCCATCTCCTGCTTCCATGTCCCTTATATCTGTCACCACTACATTGAGTGCTCTGAACACAAGCCAGGAAGACCCCCCTGGATCACATGAAGCCCTATTTATAAACAGGATCCGCCAGAATAGCAGAGGCGCCATCTGCTGAGTTTCCTGTGATCCAAGAGTTCAACACCTGATGTCACTCAGGTATCTCTCAGCTAGTGCATTGCTACAGTCCTAAGTGCCAAGGAGACTCAAAGTCAATGTATAGTATCAACCTGCAAAGGGAGAAAAGGGAAGGGATGAAGGATCTGGAAGAGGAGCTTTGTGGTCAAGAACTCAGAAGCCAGCTCAGACACCTGTAGCTGTGTGACCTTGAGATAGGCTTTTAACCTCTCTGAGCCTCAGTGTTCTCATCTTCAAGAATGAGAGTGGTCATCCGTTCATTCAGTCAGTCATCCAACAGCTTTATTAAGAATCTAGTACGTGCAAATATCCATCCTGCTGGAGACACATTTTAAGTTGGACACACCCAATAAAGGAGAAAGTACAATACGGGGTGACAAAACATGAGGTTCATGGGGTCGTTCAAAGATGATACCGCATCCTACCCCAGCCAATGCAAAGAACTCTTCCTACTAGAAGTGTGATTAAACCAAGTCTCAGGGAAGGTAGAAATCAGCAATTTTGAGGGAAGATTTCCAAGGAAGAGAAGCCAGGTGCAAAGACTTAGATTCAAGAGGAGAAGGCTTTCCTTCCGGCTTCCAGGATACACCCTCAGATGCCCAAGTGCCTCCACGCCTCCTGGGTCACGTTAAAATTCAGGCTCTGAGCTGTAGGTCCGGGGTGTGGCCTGATGCGGGGCTCGTTTTGCCAGCAAGCTCTCGAGTGATGTGGTGTTGCTGCTCCGTGGACCACACACTGCATAGGGAGGTTTTCGAGTGCCCACTGAAGGGAGCTTATCTACCATTTAAATTCTCACCCCTCTTCTCTCCCCTCAGCACCCAAGATTTGATGAACAGGTGCTGATAACTTTCTGAGCGAAGAACCCTACCCAAGTCACAGGGAAGTTTCCGCCAGAAACTTCCCTGGACACCCTGGAAACCAAGGCGTTTGCCAAAAGGTGTTGTACCAAGTGCTTCTCTCCAAGAAACACTGGACTCTGTTCCATCGAAGGCTCCCACTCACCAGTCGAATTCTGTGTGAAAGAAGCCCCTGCCTGTGTACTGTGGAACTCCCACCAGGTTTTATTGATCATTTCTTTAAAAGCAGGGAGAGCATGTGTCTCATGGTAACTCACTCAGACAACCAGTCACTTCCTGAAACCTGCTCTATGCCAGGCATGTGACATGTGCAGAGGCCACACTCAGACCCCTGAACCAACCAACGCAGGAGAAAAACAATGTAGCCACCTGTCCTCAGTCCTACCTTGCACTGCGATCATTTCCAACAACTCTGGAAATACAGGGAGTTTGCAAGCTACAGAGGATAAACAGTAATTTGCAGCAGAAACTCTTGATCCTCACCAGTGCATGAGACCCCCGTCCCCACCCATCCCGAGAGTTCAGAGCTGGTGGGATCGTGCATCTCCATAGCAGGCAGAGAAGGGAAATCGGACCAGGCTCCTGCAGGCACTTAAAATTCTCGAAGGCTGTTCCAGGATAGTGTATGAGAAAGCAGGAAAGCACTTTAACCCTGGTAGAGAGAAGAGAAAACTTCTTCAGAGTCTGAAAGTGAGTACAAAGGTCGTATCTACAGCCATGGGTCTTTCCAAAATGCACAGAGATAAATGTAGTGGCAGAGACGACAAGGATAAACGTGCCGAGAAACCATTGCCCTCAGCATGGCAGGCACTGCTAGCTACAAAGCCATTCCCAGCCTCCCCACCCCAGGTTGCTCCCATTCTAGAAGCTACAAATCAAACACTTGTTTTTGTTTTCAGATTCCTTTGCCAGCAGCAGTGGTCACATTGCATAGTTCTAACCAATTAGGTGAAGAAAAATCTGGGAAAGTTTTTGCTCCCTGCTAAAGAGAGAAGCAAGAAAAGAGAATTGCTTCTGCCCCATTCCTCTTCTTGCCTTGAGCATAGTTGTGAGTCTGGGGTTGTGACAGCCATGATAAAAAGTCAACGTGATGATGATTAAGGGGAAAACTATGCAAAGCCTTCCTCTCCCCGTGCGGTACTGGGTATGAAACCTCACACATGCAGAGCATTGCTGTGTCGCTGAGCTACACCCAGCCTGCAGACCCTAGATCTTTTACAACATCGCTAAGAAATAGAAGGAATTCAGCAACACCTAATGCTGGACTCTTTTCATCAAGAAAAATAATTCCTGTATAATTAAGCCACTGGATCGTGGTGACATGCAGCCAAAACAGGCATCCTCCTGTGGTGTGTTAAGAGGTAATCAATTCTCTTTGTGCCGATGTTCTTGCAACTGTTTTCTGAACATTTCTGTACCATTTTGTCTTTGTATTATTGCAGGGATCATGTTCTTGGCATTTTTAAAACCAGTTATAACATCGACCTGGGCCCCTTGTTGATTAATGAAGAGAATAAAACCCTTAACCCATGCTCATCTTATATCTGTGCAAGTCGAAATTTCACCCCTTCTTAAGTTGCTCAGCTAGTGAGGGGCAGAGCCGTGATTCAAGCCCACACAGCCTGGCTCCCGCCCTGGCCTCCTGGGGCTGCCTGCTGTGGTGGTGCCCAGCGTCACAGCGCGGTAGGCATCCCTCTAACCAGAGCCCGTGGAGCACAGCAGACCCTCACCGTCTTGGACGAGGACGGCATGGAGGACAGCAGGATGCCCGAGGTCTGGGACTGGGAGCTGGGCTTGGTCTTCCTGGTGAGCCACCTCCTGTACTCTTCTCGTACCTGAGACAGACACAGCACGGGAGGACGGCAGGATGGGTGCTCCTGGACCCAGCAAGATTCTGCCCCAGGCACGTCAGGTGGGCAGAGGTGGGCGGAGGTGGGCAGAGGGATGGAGGTGGAGGGTCGGGTGGGTGAAGGGGTGTGGAGGTGGGAGGTGTGGTAGGTAGAGGTGGGGGCATGGAGGTGGGGGTCTAGTGGGTGGATTGGGGTGGACGGGGGCTGCAGCCACATACCTGGCGGCTGAGCAGACAGTGGATGACGAAGATGAACATCCCCTGCAGGCTGTTGATGATGGTGAACAGGTACGCCATGATGCTCGCCATCTGTCCAATCTGGAAGAAGCCCAGCACCCAGGGGCAGCCCAGGATGAAGAACTGGGCAAATGCTTTGAAGGTCAGCAACCTGTGGGGGAGAGTTGCAGGCGTGTGACCGGAGGCCTGGCGCTGTCCTGGGGCCGCACTCCCAGGGCTGTCTGAGCTGCCACCTGGCGAGGACACAGCTGGCCTGTAGTCCCCTTGCTCAGAGATGGAGAAACCAGATCCTAGAGGCAGTTAAAATGCAGCCCGCCTAAGGTTCACCTGGCACAAAGATGTGTGGGTACGTCTAACAAGGTTTCATTTGCAGTATTGAAAGACCTCAAGGACCCCCCTTCTAAATGGCACATGCTAAATGAACTGTGGACCCATATATAAGATGACATGAAGTATTTCTTTTATGGAGGTAAAATTTGCCTAAGATACAGTTCGCCATTTTGACTACTTAAAGTATGCAATTTAGTTGGCACTGGGTACATTTACAAAACTTCCTGCAATCGTCCCCACTATATACCTCCACCTTGATTTTATCATCTCAAAAGAGAAACTCTGTAGCTATTGAACAGCCATTTCCCATTCCGATTGCCCCAGGAGGAAACCACCCAAACGTTCGTTAACAGATGAGTGGATAAATAAATGTGGTATATCCATTCAGTGGAGTAGTATTGCACCGTGAAAAGAAGGAGCTCTGACCCACAATAGGCGGTGCGGGAGCCCTGGAAGAGAGAAGCTGACTCAGACCAGCCACTGCGCGGGTCCATTAGGCAGAACGTCCAGAATACGAACGCCTACAGACAGACAGGGGTTCTCAAGCCACTTTTAAAAATGAGACAAGAGCAGTCATCGGGTATTTGGGGTAAAGATCCAGGTCTGGATCAGGCACCTGCATTCCTCTTCTGACTGATCCCTTCACTCCCTCGGGGAGTTATTGACCCTCACTTGCCTCAGTTTCCTGGCTTTGATAAAGTGAGGGTCATACAAAGGCTGGCTCTAGAGGTAGGAAGGTGAATGGACACACCGCTGGGTGCTTGGAACAGAGATTGGCACCGAACGCGCATCTCTGTGGGTTGCTGTCAGCCGAGAGTGTCCGTATAGGAGCTGTGTCACAGGGCAAAGCGAACCTCAGAGCAGCGTGCAGGGGGCCTCTCCCCTGCGGGAGGAGGGCATGTGGGTGGTGTAGAATGCTTCACTTGGCCCAGACCTGGAGACCCGGGCTCCCAGGAAAGTGCTCACGGGATGGAGCTGCCTGGGTGCAGGGGCTGTGAACACGCCCGGGGAAGCAGGCTGTCACCGTGGGTGCCGAACTCTGAACATACCCAAAGCCACCTCCAAATGGTTGAAGTGGGGAATTTCGTCTTAAATTTTTGTTCTACTTATGTTTTAACTTTTGTATTACTTTAAAAAGATTTTGCAATAGGTGAGGAGGAGTTAGACATGCACAGGGAGAGAAGAAAAGACTGTTCCAAGATTACTGACCATCAAGCCTAGATAATGTCTGGCTGTGGCAAGACCTGAAGATGAACCTGGCTGAGTGAGGAAGTCCAGGGACACAGAAGATGACAGGAATGTGAAAACGAGCCTGTGTCTAACATGAGATGGAAAATGGAACCCGACAGTGAGATGGTGTACTTCACCTACTAAACCAGAAAAAAAAAAAAGAAAAAGAAAGACCACAGAAACTACCGTAAGCCCAGTGCTGGCAATGCTGCAGCTAAACGGGCACTACCGGGACTGGACGAGAATTTCCTGGAAGCTGACCTGCAACCTGTATTTAAGGCATTTCAATTCAACTTACTCTTGGATTCAAGCAGTTTCACACTTAAACTGGTAGAATTAGAAAGCCACAATGTGCAAAGATTCACCTACATGGGTAGTCAAGGTAGTATCATTTATAATAGCAAAAACAATTCAGAAATAATTTATAATTCATGAATAAGGAATGATTTAAATAAGTTCTGCTTCTTCCTTACACCAAAATGCCAAGCAGAAAATACACATGTTGTAGAAGAATCTCTAGTTTAAAGTGGGAAAGTAGCCATGACATCGTTAACAAAAAAATACATATAAAAATAAAATAATGTGAATCTGTTTCTTATGACTATGCACACATGCGTGCTCACAGAGAATGTCTTATTTGTAGCACTCTATGAAACACTGTTCCTAAAACCACAGTAAATACATTATAAGCCACATAAAGCGAGAAATGTTAGTGTCCCCCGTCTACAGAGGAGGGAAGCAAGCTTTAGGGAGTTTTGGAACTGCACCTGGTGTCTCTGAGCTTGGAGACCTCAGCGTTGACGCTGGAAAGCTTCTGCCTCAGGATGCACAGCGTCCAGGTGAGGAGGACGAAGTTGATCTACAGTGTCAAGCAGAAGGGGTCAAGGGATCGGCCCATAAATGGTCAGCGGCTGGCATCGTTGGAACCAGAACTCTGACCCCTAGTCTCTAGCAAGCAATGGAGCAAGCCGGTGGCCCTGGCAGCAGTAGCCCAGCCCCCAGGGCTTAATACCCATGGCTTCCCGGCTCCCAATTCAGAAGACAGAAAGCGCCCCATCCAGCACTCGGGACACCCACTTCCCATCAGGCGGCCCGGGCTTCCGTGGCCAAATGGCCACTCGGGGCATGCCCATCTCCTTTCAACATTTCCACACTCGGCCACGGCCTCCCCACGGCCCCGCCAGCCCAGACTGTCCCCAGTGCAGAGCTCTGTGGACTCCCCGGCTGCCCTCCTACAGCCATCTCAGAAGGAATCGCCCGTGAGCGTTCTCCTGTGGACGCTGGTCACTTCCACAGGGTGAGCCTCACAAGGGTGCGCTCCGGGGAGAAAAATTCTGAGAAACAGAGGAGCAAAGTAACATTTTCTGTTGCCTTTAGCTCTTCCTACAGAGGAGAGGGGAATCCAAGAGCAGGTAGGAGGAGAAGAGGAAGGCGATGTAACGCTGCACGCCCATGAGCGAGTTCAAGTCCACACGGCCTTCCTGAGGCTGGGAGGCGCTGGGGCGCAAAGTTTATTTAAAGTTGTTCCGCACTTTGCTCTCTGTGACGGGGCGAATTGTATCACTCCTCCCCAGAAAGACGCATCGAAGCCCTCACTCCCAGGACCTCAGGATGGGACCTTATTTGGAGGCAGGGACATCACAGGGGGCATCAAGTTAAGGTGGGGTCCCTGGGGTAGGTCCCCATCTACATAACTGGTGTCCATATCCATCGGGGAAATTTAGAGACAGAGACAAACACAAGAGAGAGAAGACCATGTGGGAGACACGGAGAGAAGATGGCCGTCCACGCCAGGGTGTCCTCAGGCCCCCAGAAGAAGAGAACCCTCCTGCTCTCAGGGGTGTGGCCCTCCATTTCAAGTCTCCAGAACTAGGCGGTAATAAAGCCATGTTGCTCCGTGGTCTAGCAGCTCTAGAAAACTAGGACACGTCTCCACGAATCTACTAGACATCGGAGCAAGTCTCCTGGAGGGATAGATCCGCAGGCTTCCCAAGATGGAGATGGTTAAAACATGAGCTCACAATTAAAAATTACACATGACACCAGGAATCCAGCCTCCCTGTGGGTCAGCCAGAGAAAGGTCGTCTGCAGACACGGCGAAGGCTGAATGGAGGCAGAGGCGGGGTTCAGAACCCCCGGCCTCCCCTTGCCGCCGCCCATCATTTTTCAGCTGGTCTCACTCCTTGCTCCTCCACGACGCCACCACTGCCCCCTTAATGTCCTTTCAGCCCCCCGTCATTCTGCATCTGTACCTGGGAGACCCTGGGAGACCCTGCACCATTCCCTGGAGCATAAAGACTGCAGTTGCTCCAAAGGCTTTTGCATTCCAGCCTGAAAGTCATACGTCAAAGAAATTACTCTCTAACTTAGAAATCTTAAGACTCGAGAAGACAAGAGAGCTCCTGAGGGCAGCAAAGAACCTTCTTGCCTTTGCCCTCTCCTGGCCCTTCCTGACCGCCCGGGGCCTCCTGCCTCCTGCTCCAAAACATTCTTCACCAAATAATTTGCTTACCAGTATGATCACGGACACCGGCCCCAGAAAGCTCCAGATGAAGCCTCTAGCAGTGCTGAGCCAGCAGCTGTGGAGGGAAGCGGGAGGAGTGAGTATTGTCTCTGAGTTGGCCCTGCAGCTGTTCCTGTCCCTGCTCAGGCTCGGATGGAGGAGCCTGGGAGGTGAGACCGAGGTGAGAACTCTCACCATGGGCCAGGCTGCCTGTGGTTCCCCTGGACTCTGGTGCCTGCTTTGCAGACCTTCCACCTGCACAGACGTTCCTGAGATGCTGGCCTAGCGCTGTCTGGGAAGCACGTCCTCAGCGCGGAACCTCTGCAGTCCCCTGTCCCTCTCTGCACGGCTCCCACCGATACAACAGATCTGCTGTCATTCAGATCCCAGCTCAGGGGCCCATTCCATGCAGTAGCTGCTCCTGGCCATCCTTAGCCGAGAATCCCAACCGAGACCCTCTCTATCAGTGCTCGCTGCACGGTTAAAAATGACGGCTGTTCTGTCCTAACTTGTCTTGTTAGTTGTCTGGGTCTTTCTGCCCCTGCTCCATTATGAACTGCACGAGAATTTGGGGCTTGGGTGGTTTGTTCTTCTCTTTAATAAACCAGCACCCAGGAGCTAGCCTGGCCTGGACCAGGGCATTCCGTGATTGTTCCTTAACGGGAAGGAAGGGGGGAAGAAGAAGGAAGCTGTAGGATGGGGGAACCCAGTTGAGGGGAGGGGTCCTGGGGGACTAGGTACTGTCCCAGGCGTACCCCTCACTCTCCTCTTCCTCACTGTCTCTCTCATGCCATGAGGTTAGCACCCCTTCCTCCACCATGCCTTCCGCCATGAGGTCTCCACCTCACTGCAGGCCTGAAAGCAATGGAGCCAGCTCACCATGGACTGAAACCTCGGAAACTGCAGGCCCAAAAGCCAAAATACACCTTCTCTCCCTTAAGTTGATTCTCTCAGGTGTTTTGTCACAGCAACAAAAAAAGCTGACTACACACATGTGCGCGCACTCACGCACACACCAATAGGAAGATGATCACATCAGGCCCACTAGCTGTCCTCTCCCTGGAATGGAACACTCAAGTAGTAGTGACACCTGGGTTTGTAAAGTACACCACCCACGCTACTGCGCACAACAGCTGTGACCTCAGCAGGACCACTGCTGCAGTTATTGCTCTTCCTGAACCTGGCAGTAGGGTCTTCAGGAAGAGAGACCTTGTCACTTACCGGTTATGTGTCCCATAGCCCTGGAGGTACATGCTGGCAGAGATGGCCACCACCAGCCCTGGGAACCCGTAGCCAAAGGCACAGAGGTACAGCATGCTGATGTTGTGGGAGCTGAAGTAGTTCACCACCTTCAGGTTTCTGACCATCAGGAAGAGGGTCACGGCCTCCACCAGCGTCCAGGAGAAGCAGGCCAGGAAAAGGTAGTGGAGGCACCCGGCAATGATGGCACAGCCCGTCTGCAGAGCAGGCAGAGTGAGGCTCCCCCACAGAGAGAAGGGGGCAGGGGCCCTGATAGTGCTGAGGGAGGCCCCCTGCATGTAGCCCCCGGGGGCAGGAAGCTAAGCACCCCACGGAGACGGAGGGGGCCCTGCACAAAGCTCCTTCAGGGAAGCCCAGCACCTACTGTGCGGTGGCAGGTGGGGCTGGCCTACTATGGTCTCACCCCCCGGGCCGTGTCAGTGGATGCGGTGAGGGAGGTGGACACACCCACGGGAGTCAGCACCCTTTAACACTGTTGTCTCATTTCTGTTGGGGGATGAGGGTTGTCCTGTGCCACCTCATGTACTACCTTGTGTCACCTTCTCCTGTGATGACAGTCAGAAACATCCCTGGACATTGCCAAGTCTCCCAAGGGGCAAAACGCCCACAGGTGAGGACCGCTGGCCAAGACAGGAATAGGAGGGACCACCTCTGGACATGGCAGGGGAAGTGATCTGAAGCTGACCGCCACACAGGGAGCCGTCAGCTAGGTGAGCAGCTGGGAGCCGGGCAGCAGGAAGGGGCCCAGCATGTGCAAAGGCCCTGAGGGAGGGAGCTGGGTAGGGCTGAGCAGACACAGACTGGCAGAGGAAGGGGCTGGAAGGGGACACAGCTTAGGGGTTTGACCTGGTTGTCCGTCTTGTCCACACCGGTGAGGAAGAGAATCTTGGCCAGAAAGAGACACACGCAGAGGTGCAGGTGAAGGGAGGTGTTGCGGCTGCGAATGGCGCGGCACAGCAGGAAGGTGGCAATGGCCAGGACAAGGCACACCAGGGAGAGGCTCAGGCCCACGAGGCTAATGATTTCCAAGGAGACCGCCACCTGCCAGAAAGGAGATCCGCCGCTGGCCTCCTCAAGGAACCAGAATGCCCCAAGCAGGAAAGAAGAATTATCCAAATCCCCGGATTGGAAGAAAGGGCTCAGCCTTTCCTCCCTCTGACACTCAGAATGACCTAGATACTGTCCACTGTCACCCTCAGCATCACTGCTCTCCTGGAGTGGGCTCACCCTGTGCATTTGGGCTGCATGACCACAAACTACATATCCCAGAATCCCTCGGGGCAAAGGTCCTCCTGTAACTTAGGTCCCCCACTGAGAAGCATGCATAAAGTTCTGGAAGGCAGAAAGGGGGGAAATGCCAGCATTCTGCAGATAGGAGTGGGCCGTGGCTGGACACCATATTCCAACTATCCTGTCCCCGACTGCATGGGGGCAGAATGGACATGAGGACATCAGCTTCTGACCTCTGGAATAAGCCACAGGATAGGGGTGACCTTGAAGCCAAAGTCCAGGAATCAGCCTCCTAACTTCAGCTCCTCCTGCTCTGTGACTGCGTGGGCTTTCAGTGCCCTGCGTTACATTCCTTTCTGCTTGGAAAACCTGGAGGGGTTTCTGCTGCCCCCCCTGAACCCCAACTGATCCACAGACATTCAAGGATGCAGCAGTCTCGGGGAGTGGAAATGACAAGCTAAATCCTTCTATGCCCTCTTTTCATAACCCATTTTAACGTTATTCGTAAGTTCATGACTTTCTCTGAGTTGAAGACAGGCCAGGCTCTCTCCCATGACCTCTTCTGTGTGATATTGTCACAAAGGGCCTAAGAAAGCTGATCAAAATTCTGCCGGTTTCTAATTGTATGATTTTGCATAAAATACCCGAGTCCTCGGTGCCTCAGTTTACTGCTCTGTAAAAAGGAGGATATTAATAGTAACTGCTTTTGGGGAGGGTTCAGAGAAAGCTGATAAATGTGCCGGTAACATTTCACACCCCGTGGAAGTGTGAGTTATTACTTTCTTCTCGTTCTCAGTTTTGAGATGAGAAAGCTGGCTTCAGCTCAGAGGTTGACTTGGCCAAGCAAATGCAAGCTCTAAAGTGGCAGAGATGGGACTTGACGGGAGGCCAACCTTGCTCTGGATCCGTTCCCTTCAGTCCTGATCCACCGAATCTCCACCTAGAGCTTGGTGCCTCTCTGGCGGGGAACTGACCCTCAGCTCTGGCAGGATGGGCAGGGACACCCCAACCTCTCCTCCACCTCATGTGCACGTGCACCGCAGCTCCCTTCATACCTCATCTGCTCACACACCTGCCACCCTCTCCCACTGGACGCCTGTCCATTCCTGAAGCCCAGCCTTCTGCTCCATGTATATAGTGGAGTGAAAAGGGAAGTTTGGAGCCAGACACCCCCCACCCCAGTTCAGATACCAGCTCCATCAACAGCTAACCTCACAAGGAGGCAGGCTAGTGAGCCTCAGCCTCCCAGCCTATGAAATGGGTCTAAGAATGATTAGCTGAAGACTGAAAGTCAGCCCACAACGGATGCCCCCTAAACAAGACCTGCGGCCACCACGAAGCCTGCCCTGTGTGGGGTCACTATTTCTGATTTCATAGTTGAGCATCATGTTTCCCAACCAGATCATGAACTCCCAAAGGACGAGGCACGGCATCCATCCTTCTGACCCCCTGGCTCCCTCCCACTGCACAAAACACCACAGGGGACACCCAAAAGACATCCAGTCAGTGTTTTCCCGCTGGATTTGAAGCAGACACTCAGGGAGCCAGAGTACCCATCATCAGCACTGACCGGGAGCTCCTCAAGAGCCATGATGATGGCCAAGTTGGCCAGCCGGTTACAGCTGCAGACTGTGTGCGTCTCCAGAACTTTCAGGACCTCACAGCCGGCCGGCGTCCACCCACCGTCCCCCACGTCTGAGCTCCAGGACACGCAGATGGGCCTCTCGGACTTCTGCTTCGGCTGGAAAAGCAAAGGGCTGGTCACCCGAGAGTTCCTCTCTAAAGGACTTGATGTGTTCCATGGGGAGAGGAGGAGAAGGAGAGGGATGTGCTGTCTCCAGAGCACAGGTTCTGCCTCTGTGAACACACTGCCCGTGCGGCTTCCTACTGCGCTCCTTCACACACCTCACCCTGCCGCTGCAGAACCCAAGAACGACATCACCCGGAGAGACGCTTCTCCAGCAGTGGCTTGGGTCATTGGCTTGAGTTGCAAAAAACGGTGGATGTCTGTTGCCCTGTTGTCCCCCATTAAAAATGAGCTAAGTCTACAAAACTTTTACTACAGAAGAGCCCAACGTTACCAACACTTAGCAACGACAGGTGTGAGAGAGGTGGATGCTGATCAGGGGCGCCCCGACTTGGTCATTTCGCGTGGTATGCATGTACCAAGTCATCACACTGTGGAAGCTGGAGAGGAGGAAGGACAAGGAAAATCGAGGGGGCAGGGGGCTCACATGGAAGGCAGGGGAAGAAAAGGAAAGGAAGGGGTGGGGGTGGGGTGCTGGGGGGACAGTGGTCAAATGATGTGGTATGTTGCGTACACACAATAATAAGAGATGACAGAATCCACCATTATGCACGACTATAATGCAACAATGAAAAACGTGAAGAAAAAAATTATCACACTGTCTAATTTAAAAACCTGGTTCAAACATTACAGATGTTTCCATGGGTTTAATTTGTACAAGTATGTTTTTATGTATCAATTAAAAAGTAAGTGTTTAAAGGCCCTGGAGGGAAGAGCATCATGCCCACGGACACTTCCGAGGCTCATCTGAACGGGGAACTCAGCACAGGTGCGTGGCGTTCCTCTGAACTCTCTCTTACAACTGAATCTACTTCAAAACAAAAAGAGAGACCCCCTTCGCCACCTGAAGGTTCTCCAGGACGTAGAGGACAGGTTCCGAGAGGTTGTCCTTCTTCTCCCCGGTTGTGATGCCCCCAACGACGCGAGAATTCATCCTCAGCCTCAGCTCGACGTTGGCCCTGGGGCTCTGAGGGCCCCGGAAGAAGCGCTCATCTAAGACGGACTCCATGTTTGCAAAGGAGACAAAAGCCACCCCCGTGGATCCTGCAGATTCCCCCCAAAGAGAAAGAGAAAAACAGGAATCATTGGCTGGGCAGCTGTGGAAGCTGGCCCAACACAGGCGCGCGCACACACACACACACACACACACACACACACACACACACACGCTCTGCTCTTCTGGGCTCCTTGCTGGGTTACTCAGGGTGGAAGGGTGAGTGAGGTTCAGATCCGTGACCCTCACCAGAACCACGGCATCTACAACAAAACACCCCCAGGGGCTGTGACCTGGAGAGATCTTGTCTACGTTTAAACCTAAACCTGGATTTGTGTTCTTAAGGGACAGTGCTGCCTCTGGTGGGAAATAAGTTCTCCTCCCATCTTTAGGGTCTCCTTGGTGGGCTTCTCTCTGACTATGTGTGGTCTCCAGAGGTGCTGTTCTAGGGTTGCTTCCTGTCCCCACCTGGCCACAGACAAAACCTCTGGAACTACGAGTCCCAAATAAACTTTCCCTCCTCTAATTTGCTCTGGTCAAGTGTCGTGGTCACAGCACGAGAAGGAGACTCACATGTCTGCTTGGTACCTGTCACCTAGGAGTGCTTGCACTACCATGATGGATAAGTACCTGTGACCGAGACTCTACTGCTCACAATGCTGAAAGAACCTACTGACAACCCACAGAGAAGAGCCTGCCAAGCCCGGTACAGATGAGTCCTGCACAATGGAAACACAGCCACGTGGGCGATTTTAAGTTGTCCAGTATTTACAGTTTTAAAAGTAAAAATAAAAAACAGGTAAAATTAATTAATTATAATGATATATTTACTCAATGTCAGCAAAATATTACCATGTGAACATGTAGTTTGAAATTTTTTAAAGTAAAAATATATTTTAAACTGGGCCTGGTGCCCTGCACCTGTAATGCAGTTACCCAGGAGATGGAGGCAGGAGGATCATGAGTTTGAGATCAGCCTGGACAACATAGCGAGATCTTATCGGGAAAAAAAAAAAAAGTGTGTGTGTGTGCATATGTATATATATGTGTGTGAGTGTGTATGTGTGTACACACACACACACACACACACACACACACACTTTTATGGCTGAATAGTCTTTCATTGTGTATACCACATTTTCCAAACTCCTGTCATTTGCAGCAATGGGACGATCCCAGAAGACGTCGCGTTAAGTGAAATAAGCCAGGCACGCAGTGACAAACACCACGTGATCTCATCTGTAGAATCCAAGAAACGTTGACCTCGAGTAGAAAGTAGAATATGACAACAGGCACCAGAGCTGGGGGTGCTGGGGGTGGTGGTACAGAACCCTACGTTCATGTGAGATAGGAAGGACAAGTCCAAGGACTCTACTCTGCAGCATGGTGACCACAGCTAATGAGGACGTACCACATCCTAGAAAAATGTTGAGAGAGTGGCTGTGGAAAAAAATGTCTTCGCTACAAAATCGGCGACTCTGTGAGGTGGTACACCTGTGAATCAGCTGGAGTGTGACTTCCTCAAGGCACACGTACTGCAAAACATCAGGCCGCGTGCAACCAATGCACACCCCTCTCTGTCCCTTTTTTAAATAAAAAGTTGAAAATTGATTACATTTGATCTTTTTGAAGCCCATACACAAGCTTACAAGTGAGATACTTTGCATCCTTATTTTTTTGTTCCAAGTCTTTGAAACACAGTGTGGAGCTTCCACTTAGAGCACACTTCAATTCATCCTTGTCACCGTTCGGCCAAAGGTGGCCAGTGGCTACCAGATGGGGTCCAGAAGGCCTCACCACCCAGTATCATGGGATTTTCCTTTTAATATTCAACTTCCCTGAGAACACAGGCCACTTCTGACTCCACTGCTCTTGATTTTCAACCCCCTGGCATGAGTCTTGACACCTGGGAGGTGATTCACAGGTATCTGTAGATTGAATGTGCTGCAGTTTTAACCTGAAGTGTCCCCCAGAAGCTCATGTGTTGGAAGTGTGGTCCCCAGTGCAGCAAGTTCCAGAGGTGGGGCTTTTGAGTGGATCGTGAGGGCTCTGCCCTCATCCTGGGATCAGTCCATTTCCACTTGACTGATAGCCAATTGGACCACTGGGAGGTAGGACCCAGTCAGAGGAAATAAGCCTCTGTGGGCCTGCCCTGGGGGTCTGGCTCGTCCCCAGCTCCTCTTGCCCCTGCTTCCCAGCTGCCATGAGCTGAGCCCACGTACTCTTCCATGATGTTTCTGCCTTGGAGTCAGCTGACCATGGGCTGAACCTCTAAAACCAAGAGCCAAGAAAAACCTTTCCTCTTCTAAGCTTTTCTCCTCGGGTCTTTCGGTCACAGCAACAGAAAACTCACTCACACCGAATGCAGCACGGCACCTTGTGGGTTCTCAGGAGCGGGTCCGTACCTGAGGATCTGGATTCCTTAATCATGGAGCAACTGATCTTCATCCCATCCCCTTTGGCTTTCAGAGAAAAGCCATTCTCCTCAAGGCAGTCCTCCTTGATAACTTTGCTCTCGATATCTGAAAAGAGAAAGGGAGGGAGCACATGTGGTCACCCAGAAAGTGGGTCAGAGTTTGGTTTCTGCTCAAGAAAGGTACACATTCACAGTTGTGTGCAAAGGAAAGAACAGGAAGGCCACTGCATCGTGGGCAAGGTCTTGAGCCCCTTGATGAAGGATGAGGGACAGGAGCACCAAAGACACGAGCCATCCAGCTGGAGCCTTAGAAACGGGCCCTTCCATCAAGGGGACGCATCGGAGAGAGACGGAGTTCAAGTCAGCCACTGAGCGGGGACCTAAAAGGTTCTGCAGGGCCCCTGTGTGGAAGGCTTGGCCCCAGCCTGAGGTTCTGGGACTCAGTGGAAGGTCATGGGGGCTGGAAAGAGCTTTGGGGATCCCGTCCCCAGAGTCTCCCTCTCACTTTGCTTCCTAACTGCTAGGAGCTGAGCTGCTCCTTCCGCGGCATGTCCCACCATGATGGGCTGTCACGCCACAGGACCAAGAGCAACAGGGCCAGCTGACCATGGGCTGAAACCACCAAGACTGCGAGTCCAAAGAAGCTTTGCTCTCTAGGAGCTGGTGTACTGCGGGTATTTGTTTCACAGGTAAAAAGCCAACCAACACTGCAGTCCTGGCGGACGGCAGCAGAGGGCGATCTTCTGGCCAAGTACAGACAAGTTTTCCAAGGCCAAGGGGGACCAGAAGGGTTCAGGCCAGCCCAGCATGGTGCACAGGGTCTGGTTCCGCATTTGGGTGGAGACAATGGCTGGGGTGCGGCTCAGAGGCACAGCACTTACCAGGTGTCCAAGAGGCCCTGGGTTCCATCCCCAGCACCACAAACCAAAAGAGGAGGATGGAGGGACCCAGAGGTCCCCTCTGCCACTCCCCAGCTGTGCATCCTTGAGCAACAACTTTACCTGCGGGGCCTCCTGTTTCTCATGAGTAACACGACAATAGCTGCAGGGTCTATCCCATTGACTCTCCATGAAAATAAGAAAATGAAATCAGAGTACCTTTTCAAGACATGCACCAGATAACGCCATGGCCACACCCAAATCCTCCAACGCCTGCCCTACCCTCTCCTTCCAATAACAACCTAGGTTCCCACGTTCATCTACAGAAGCTGCCTCTTTCTGTCTGTCTGGCCCCTTTCCCTACAGATCCCTCTCTTCTAGGCAACGCGGCCTCCTCCTATATTCCTTGGAATCGCCAGGTATTCCTGCAGTTGTTCTTCCTCCATAAATTAATGCTGTTCCCTTACCCGAGGCCCCTGCCCCACGAGACTCCCCTGTCCACACTCTAGCCGTGGCAACTCTCGCTCCTTAATCCTCTCAGACGTCCTCATCCTGCTGTATTTTTGTCAATTGTGCCATGCCTATCTGGTATACCAGATGTCTGTTTGCTTATCATCTCTCTCATCTCACCAAAATATAGGACTCGTGTTCACTACTGGTGGAGGTCTCTTTTCCACTCACGGCCTTCTGGGGGTCCATTAGAATTTAAATGACTGACTGAGGCAGAAACTGTGACCAGAAGTGTGGGGGCTGCTGCAAAAGATCTACAGCACTGTGTTCCCAAGTGGTCAGCTATCAAGCCACATGTCAGTCAGAAAAGGATCAGTCATGCAGCAGTAACAAACAGTCCCAAGTCTTTGTGGATTAAAAATAATAGCTAGGCTGGGTGTGTGGCTCAGTGGTAGAGCGCTTGCCTAGCATGTGTGAGGCACTGGGATCAATCCTCAGCACCACATAAAAATAAATAAATAAATAAATAAATAAATAAATAAATAAAAATTATGTCCATCTACAACTAAAAAAATTTTAAAAATAATAATAGCTATTTCTCGATAATGTTTTGTATCCACTGAAAATTGACTTGGGTTCCTGTTTTTTATTATCTTATCTCTGGGGCCCAAGCTACTGGAGCAACATGAGAGGAAACACTTTCCAGTCACTAAGAAAGAGGGAAAAATGTTCTGGAAGGTCTCACACCAACAACTATGGCCTGAATTAGTCACAGAATTCTACATAACCCCATGGCAGGAAGCACAGTCCTACTGTGGGCCCAGTGGGGACAGTTGCATTTACACACAGTAAATGACCATCATTCCCTGACCCTGTATGTCATAGGCAGCCACAAATGTTTGTTGAATGAGTTAATGGCCCTTGAGTTGTCCACCCTTGGCGCAGTGCCCGGCCCTCACAGACACTCAATAAATGGGAAAGTCCTTAGTAAGATTAGACTTGCTTTGCTGTGAATTCAGGAATTTGGGACAGTTGAAAAAAGTGCAGGTGGGAAAGCTCTGGAGGATCCATTGTCAAAGTCACCTCCTCCTCCCCTCCTCCTCTCCTC